GTGTGTGTGTGTGTGAGAGAGAGAGAGAGAGAAAGAGAGAGAGAGCGCATCAGCCGTCAGACAGAGTTGAGAGGAGAGTGGGAGAAACTGAGAGAGAGTAGGAGGAATGAAAATAAGAGTTTATATGCAAGTCAGCATCACAACTGGATGCACAGCATTTCAACAGCACAGACCTTTATGTTATGTAAAGCAAGGGGTGTCTGAAGGTAAGGTAATTTTTTTTTATTGATGTGTTGTGTGCAGTGGCACTTCTCTATATTTGACAGTTCCTTTTATATAGTCAAAAATTGGCACTTTAGTTTTTTTTATACGTTTTTTTTTTTTTATTTGCAGTAATGTAAATGTAATTAAGCACAAGTTATGTTATGAAACTACTATTAAAAAAGCTACATTTTTAAATTTCATTTTTCATTTCATAACACTTTTGCTTTCATAAGTCAGTCTACATTATTTCATTTGCATAGAACTGCACAGTTTTATATTTAGCTTTAGAGAGAGCAGTACAATATTACCACAGTCAGAACCTTCTCTTTAAAAATATGCAAGGTATATTGTTGTTATGTGCTATAGACCACCGATTATTATTATTATTATTATTTTTTAGAATTTTAGATGGGTTGCAGAACTGAGGTGAATTCTTGGATCGTTCAGCTCATTGACATTCCATGACAAATATTCACTTTTTGCATAAAAAAATCTATCCGCTGTCCCACAGAAATGAGCAATTCTTGTATTTGCCTATCACTTATTCAAATAGTGTTAATGTTCTGTATAGCATTACCTGAAGAAAATGTATGTGAAGATTGAGGGCTATAAATACTGTATGACAGCATTAAGTCATTTAATTTGAATAAACAGCTGGGGGATTTGAATAGGTAAATATCTCTTTCCACAGTACATACCTCAGCTGATAATGTGTAATAAGCATAATGTCTTTCTGACAGCGTGGGAATTGAAAACCTTCGTAAGTCTAACAGCATTTGGGGTGAAAATCGAAAGAAATGTTGTAAAATGGACCAGGTGCATCCCATTCAGAAATGGGATTTGGGTTGTTCTTAATTCATTTAATTCCAAAACGTATTTGTAACCTCTCCTACTGGCCATAGTTATTTTATTCTTGACCCTCATGACAGTCAAACATGCACTGCTATTATGGAAAATGTGTTGCCATAGAAACGCCCTGACTTGGGGGCAGACTGAAGTTTGTAGACTAATAGCTGGAGTGAGGCAGGTCATCTGGCGCTGAATGCTGTTATTAGTGTACCATTAAGCTATCAAATTGTTAGTGAAGAGACACTTGGAAAGTATAGAGCACATTTCTGCAGGGTTACACTTGAACAAAAAAAATAAATTATATCAGCAGTTAAAGGAAATATTAAGAAACATTAAGAAAACGCCATAAATTAAGCAGCTTGTTTGAAATCAAAATTACACTACCTTGATAGTACTAATCTTGAAGTTCTTGAAAACAATATTATGTTAGTTTGCGTAAAATTACAAAAAAAAACATGAAATTCAAATTTTTTATTTTTTCCATTTTTGAGTGAAACAGGATATTATTCAGTGAGAGAAAATGTAGGACGAGGCTTGATTTTATCCAGTCATTTGAATTGTGAAAAGGTTGCCGTTATACACTAGAATGGAGTCAAGTGTTTGGAGATAGCCTAAGCAATACATAATAAAGGGGATCAACTGTAGTTACCCAGTCTTTGGCATACAGGTACTTGGAAATTTTTACTTTTTGATTATTAAACAAGAGGGGACATGGCCCTGTTTATGGCACCTGCACCCTTACTGTCCTCTGAAGAGTCTACACTTTGGTGACCTGACGCATGGACTGTTGAGAGACTACTGTGGTTCATTTGATTTTGGTTAGTTTCATTGGCTGATACAACAGTGGTCTTAGACTTTATACTGACACCTATTGGCCTGCATGTAGAATTGCACAAAATGAGCTTCACAATATTTCTATTGTAGAAATATAATATTTGCATGCATAATGCCCCGCAATATTTATTTATTCCACAATCAAAAGTGGTGCCCAGCTGGTTATTTAAATGTTACATGTTTACTTAAAATAAAAAAAAAATTTTAAAAAACGGGCTTTTTTGGGGCTGAAGAAATGTGCATCCTAGACAGTGTACAATGAAAAAAAAATGAAATGGTAGTGTAATATAAAAAATATTTTTAAAAACTTGCAAAGAGAAGTTAATAACCAACATGAATATCATGCAACCATAAAAGCATAACATAGTAAACGTTATACATTATAATATTCTGTATCTTTACACTTAAAAATGTTCTTTCTTTCTTTTTATACAGTTTCAGTTTGACTTAAATACAGCATAACTGCTGGTTAAAGGTTGGTTTTGCTACAATTAGATCTACAATTATATCTAACACCATCTAATTTACACTTTTTTCTTTTCTTTTTCAGAAACCACCCAATAGTACCCCAGTCAATATGAAGCCACAAGTCTCCTAAATCATTTTCCTCATCACAACAATTTAAACAACTATTAGCACCTTACTCAGCTGAACTTTAATCATCCAGCAAGTGCTTATGCCCTCAAAATACCTTCACAACGTTTTCTGAAAACATCTCAAATGGTCTCATTCTTCCCCATAAGCAAATTTCCACCATAAACAACGCAATGTTATTGAGATTTCTCCACAACTACTAAACAAGTCGTTTTAATGAGAGAAAGAGGAGGACAGCACAACATTTATGTCAAATGTGATACTGCACGATCTCTGTTGTGCTCATGGCAAAAAATACAAGTTCCTCCTCAGTCTTAGAAAAATGGGATTCCGTACCAAATGAACAGCCATCCGAACCCATTTTTAAAACCCCTTCACCTTTTTGGAATCAGGATTTAATATACAGAAGATCTAGACAAGTACGTGAATCCACACCTGGTGTTGTCACAGATGGGTTTAACTTGTATACTTACAGGTGTGATTTAGGCTCTGTCACGACCCCAGAACTCAGCTGAACTTTAATCATCCAGCAAGTGCTTATGCCCTCAAAATACCTTCACAACGTTTTCTGAAAACATCTCAAATGGTCTCATTCTTCCCCATAAGCAAATTTCCACCATAAACAACGCAATGTTATTGAGATTTCTCCACAACTACTAAACAAGTCGTTTTAATGAGAGAAAGAGGAGGACAGCACAACATTTATGTCAAATGTGATACTGCACGATCTCTGTTGTGCTCATGGCAAAAAATACAAGTTCCTCCTCAGTCTTAGAAAAATGGGATTCCGTACCAAATGAACAGCCATCCGAACCCATTTTTAAAACCCCTTCACCTTTTTGGAATCAGGATTTAATATACAGAAGATCTAGACAAGTACGTGAATCCACACCTGGTGTTGTCACAGATGGGTTTAACTTGTATACTTACAGGTGTGATTTAGGCTCTGTCACGACCCCAGACCTCTCTTGTGTTATAGGAGCAAATCAGATCCACCCTTCACCGAGTCTGAACTCTACTAGCAGTAGATATCTACCACCTTCATCGAAATTACTTGTCAGGGACCCAAATACGCTGCACAGTATTGGAAGGGGCACAACATACTGGAGTTATTTAACTCCAGAAGTAGGACATGGACTTGTCAAAGGTTTCAGAAAGCTGTATAATCCACAAATTGACCCATTGTCAGCTTCATATTTTTATAGAGGGGTTGTTAGGGATACTCTAAGAAGAGATATTCCAAATGAGGAAGTCAAAATGTGCATGCAAAAAGAGAGACCGAGATATTCACATTGGTACCACGAACCACAAAGTCATAGAATCTGCTCTAAAAGAGATCGTGAGAGACATTATGTGAAAAACAACCCACTGCTAGGTTCTTTATTACATACAGATTCTAATAAAGAATATTTTAAACACAATATTCAGTACAACCATCACCAGCGGCTCGATTTGAATGACTCTACTCATGCTGTGCCTGAAGAATCACAGCGGGAAAGTGAAAAGCAAACAAGAGAGGAGCTCCCCCTGCTGGTCTGGAGAGAAGAAGCAGAAAAACACAATCACCAAGCAAACACTAGCTCACAGTCTAAATCCTCCTCTTCTGCCCTTTGGGTTCTCCGTCGCTTTGCAGAAGGCACTTTGGTGGAGCTCGAGGGCGGCCGGCTGAAGCGGGTGGAGGATTTAAAGATGGAGGATTTGGATCTGTGTGCTCAGTTACATCCTGAGCTGACACTGAAGCGTTTCACTGTGTTGAAGATGACTCCCTCACAGACCCCAACGCTCTCATGTTTACATGTGGAGATTGAGCATGACCACTCACGGGTAAGAAAGAAAATACTCCTGATTTGCTGCACATTGGATTTTAAAGGGGTCCTATTATGCTCTTTTACAAAGTCTTGATCTTGTTTTGGGGGTGTACTAGAACAGGCTTTCATACTAGGTTGTTCAAAAAACACATTATTTTTCACATATTTTACATTATTACAACACCTCTCTCCCCAGTCTGGCATGAACGGCTCGAATAGTTCCTGCATCAAATGAAAGCCCGCCTTCTGAAATACGAAATGTGTTGTGATTGGTTAGGTGGGCCAGTGTGTGTTGTGATTGGCACAACTGTCGGGAAATGTCATGCCCCTTACCATAGTCGCCTGCGAGCTTCAGTGTAAATATCGCGTCAAAATCAAATCAATTTGAGCGCGATTTAAAGTGGATGATTGTAACCACTCTAAGTTCGTCTGCCTTGGGAAAGCTAGCATGTCTCCGACATAGTGATAACACTCATTGCCTTCTCTAGTGCAGCTCAACCAGGTCTCGTCCCATTCGTGGATATTTGTGATATCACAAATCCCGGAAAATATGCGTTGTAGTCCAAACGAGTCGTTCATTGTAGTTTTTGAAAAGTGATTTCTGTTAAATAAAATATCTTCTTTTGAATTGGACTTTGAGCTTTGTAACTTTGCAGATCTTTTTTATGCTCAAATAGCAACATTACAGACTAACTAAAGTTGAAAAAGCATAATAGGACCCCTTTAAAGGAATCAATAAATCTTACTTTTCAAACTGTCTGTAAAACACAACAGAAAATATGTCCTGCCTCGGCTATTTTTGTGTTTTGAACACAGTTCTGTCATGACAACTCTCAGAAAGATTAGTATGATAATATACCTGGCAATGTTAATGTGTTTGGTCTTGGCAGAATAGATCTGCTCTGCTGCTTCTGCTGTGGCAGAGCAAGTACCAAGACTTGCGACTGCCAATACATCCACAGACATGCTACTACTGTGAGCATGTAAGAAATACTACTGTTGCACATATAACGTACATGAAATTACCTCGTAGCAGAACTATACAGGTGGAGCTGGGGAAGGTGGAGGGTTTCTGAGGAATGTTGCAAAATACTAAGCAAACACTGGCCAAGTGTTTGAATGTTGAACATTCAAAGCTCATTGGCTGCTGATGCAAAAAAAAAAAATTCAGAGAATCACGAGAGACATTATGTGAAAAACAACCCATTTCTAGGTTCATTACATACAATCTAATAAAGAATATTTTAAACACAATATTCAGTACAACCATCACCTGCCGCTCGATTTTAACCATTCTACTCATGCTGTGCCTGAAAAACCAAAGTGTGAAAGTGAAAAGCAAACAAGAGAGGACCTCCCCCTACTGGTCTGGAGAGAAGAACCAGAAAAACACAATCCCCAAACAAACACTAGCTCACAGTTTAAATCCTCCTCTTCTGCCCTTTGGGTTCTCCGTCGCTTTGCAGAAGGCACTTTGGTGGAGCTCGATGGCGGCCGGCTGAAGCATAAATTAAATTACTATTAACATAAATGAAATTACCCTTAGCAGATCTATACAGGTGGAGCTGGGGAAGGTGGAGGTTTTCTGAAGCATGCTGCAAACTACTAAGCAAACACTGGCCAAGTGTTTAAATGTTGAGCAGCAAAATCATTGGCTGCTGATGCAACAAAAACAGGGATGGACATAATAAATAAATTATGACACACTTGTCATTTTCTGGACAAGAATGTCTTTAAAATATTCACATTTTCTCTGCAGTTGTCACTGGAGGTGAGTGAAGGGCTACCCTTCTTCGTTTGCGGTCATGGCTGGTCCTCCTGTAACCCTCAACATACAAGTCAAACCTGCAGACTACAATGCCGCCAACTAAAGGTGGGTGACGTGTGCCTGGCACTGACGCATATGCCCGCATCTTCATCTAAGCCTGCCAATCAGAGCCTAGCTGAAGTTGGTGGAGATCACGCGGTCCCAAAGTGTCATGCCGAAAACAACCCCACAATGCAGAAAAAACATCAATCAAGAAAGAGACACTTCACAGCTCCTGAACTCAGGGAAATTTCCAAGGTACACAACATCGAAGATTGAGCAGCTAAAGGCTAAGTCATATATTGTATAATTTTTTTATTTTATTTTAAGTTTTCATTTACTTTTTTTATTGTACATAAGTCTTTGTACATTGTAAATACCATCTTTTGCAAATATAACTCTGTACATAGTAACTGCAATGTTACCAATTCAATTACACTACCGTTCAAAGGTTTAGGGTCAGTGAGTTTATTTTTTTTCAAATAAATAAATATTTTTTTAAAGACAATATTTTATTTATTAAATTGGTCAAAAGTGGCAGTACATTTATTTTTACATTGCTAGAAATAAAATCTATTTAAAATATATGCGTTTCTTTTACACTTTCTATTCATCAAAGAATCCAGCAAAAAACTTATCATAATTTCCACAAAAATACTAAGTAGCACAATGTATTTCAGCGTTGATAATAATAAGAAATATTTCTTGAGTACCTGTACCATATCAGCATATTAAAATAATTTATGAAGTATCATGTGACAGACTGACAGGACATGAAGACTGGAGTAATGGCTGCTGAAAATGTACTTTTGATATAACAGGAATTCAATCTTGAAAAATATTTTAATAAAAAAAAAAACAATGTAATATAATATAATAACATTTCTCAATATTACTGTATTTTTGATCGAATCAATGCAGCATAGGCGAGCATAAGAGACTTCTTTCAAACATTAAAAATTAATTAATTAATATCTTACAGACCCCAAAACTTTTGAACAGTAGTTTATTTTGTCACAAAATACATATCAGTCTCCTTACAACATTCTTACAACAACTAACAACAACAAAATTGGATATTACAGTAGTTATTTTTTGTTTTGCAGTCTATAATTTCCTGTATGCACATGCACTGGTATCAAGAACATGATAAAAAGCCTGTACAATATCTGATATTAATATCTGATAACTTTTTGACACTGGACTTCATGGACTTCTGTTAAATTGGTTGGAAATCTATATACCTGTGTACTTCTAAAAGCTGACAAAATAAACCTAGCATATATATGCAAATAATATTTATGACATAATTTCCTGCTCGTGTGTGTGTGTGTGTGTGTGTGTGTGTTGTGTAAATATATATATATATATATATATATATATATATTTGTCCAATAATATGCTTTCTATAATGGGAATATAAAATAGTCATAAATTATTTTACTATAGAATAAATTATTTTAGAAATGCATTATTATACATTTGAAAAATACTGTATATGTTGTTGTAAAAATACCACCTGCTTCCAACTAGCAAATCATGGGCTAAGTTTAGAATATATGTTTCCATGCTACTTTTATTTTCCTCATTATAGCATAGAAGGCAACCCATAGATCTGATAAATAAACCTGACATCATTCCCGTTCATCATAATGACAGCTGCTTTGCTGCAACAAGACCTCCCAGATGTATATAACTTCATGAGATAAGCAGAACCCACTTGCTGAATCAAACATGCAATATAATGAGGGCATGTAACAATAATATAGCATGCTACTGTTTAAAAGATTTGCATAATGCATACTGTTTTACATCCTATTTCTGAACAAGGTATCTATGTAATACCTAATGCCTGGTTAGTTAATCATTAACATTCTCAGGTCCAAGTAGAACCCCTCCCATAAAACTACGCAAAACATAATTCCATAGAATATTTGCATTTGCATTGTTTGATTAATGAGATTTGGTCACTTTGGGATTTTTTGTTTTACAATTTTCATAATGAAAAAAAAAACATATTTTCTTCACAACATGGAGGAACAAACTGTATACGTTTTTCAGCTCTCCAACCATCTGGTTTTGAAGGCCATCTTTTCCACCAGTGACTCTTTGAAGCACAGCTACAATGTTGTATTGTATCGATATTATTGGGAACAGCTGCACGGGTCACATTTTCGTCTGCCAAAATCTAACGCACCTGCTCCTATTTAGACAGTTTCATTTTCATTTTATCATTTGATTTATTCCTAATGTTCAGATCATAACCAAATGCTCTCCCCTGATACCGCCCACCTGCTGGCCTGGCCGCTCTTCACAGGCGAGTGATGACTCTGATACTGCAGGTGGACACACTGACCCTTGAGATGACCCACACACATTCGCACTCTTCACAACAAAGGGTTCATTCACTAATGGTGTGTACGTAAATCCTGTGTGTGAACATTTGAACACATAATTAATCAATAAGTTGCCATAAGGTGTGTTTCAACATGTTCCCTCTTTTAGGATAATTTGGTCTTGTGCAAGATCTGAAATTTATAGGCTAACTAATGGACTCCAGAAAGATTCCATCCCATTTTTTATGTGTACTCTTATTTGTTGTCTGATTAAAAATTACTTAAATCCTTGCTTTATTTAGTCTTAATTATAAAAATAATTGCTGATGTATTTTTAATTACATATCACATTATCTTACAGTAGTTATAAAATGGTAAAATTAAGCATTTCCTTTTCTCTGTTTTTTCAGTGACCTTTAGCTAGCAAGATAACAGCTTAGCCTATTAGCTTAGCATAGCACTAAAAGCTATTCTGATTAGCTAAAACAAGATACCATGGTAATAACACAACTATTAGTAAATGAGACCAAAAGAGAACAAATTCACAGAAAATAAATTACCAGTTGCGCTGTAAACACTGACTCTTCTGAAACCCTTCAAAGGCCAAATACAGGCACATGGCTTTTTATGAACTGAATGACTGATAACTGCTGAGAGAAAACACATGTTCTTTCATGTATGTGACGAAACCAAAGTGATTCCAAGGCAAAATTGAGTTGCATATTTTCTGCAGTCCTGTTTAATCGAGTGCTGAACATCTGTGTAAGGGTTTGTTGAGTGTCCTGAAAGAGCGAAATTAAAAACCATCGCTTTGACTCACTGTTACGAACACCCATCATTTGCATTTCTATTTCACATCTCGTGCAAAATACAGTGTGTCTAAAAGTCTGCAACCACATGGAAATTCTGTGATTGGTTATCTAATTTAAACCTGGAAATAACCAGAATTTTTAATAACCAGAATGAAGTAAAGAGATATTAAAAATTCTGAATTCTTCCATTGAAACACATAAGATTCTCAATTTTTTCCCCCATTCCCGTTCATTTTAACTCACATTGTTGTGCTTAGTTGTTAACAGAAGAAAAAAAATTAAATAAGAAAATCCACAATAGAAACATTTTTACTAGTGGTCTCAGACTTTCTTATACGTTCAAGATAAGTCATGGCAGGAATTTTCCAGGAATTACTTTAGTGAATTCATGCTAGTGTTTTTTGTAAAGAAGTCTCTATAAAGCAATGTGCTTAAATCCACTGCCTTTTCCCCGATCAGTCTGGTTAAATCTCTAAGGCCAGTTCTTTCTCTCTGTATGTCCTCTTTGATATTCCAAACTTGGCTCTCTGTGCAGAAATGAAAGCCAGAACACCACACACTTGACTCAGCTGTGGTCAACCTCATACAGTTCCAGGAGTTTTGAATTTTAAATGAAAATGTATGCTTTGGATGTACACTCCTCTAACAAAAGAGTCCAGTTTTGCTCCAGTAATGAGTCTCTTTCCTCTCTAGGCACTTGAAAAGTATTTGCATCCCTTATTTTTTCCAGGGCATGCGTAGTAATTAGTGGCATCCACAGGCTCTGACGACCATGTTGCGGTACTTTTTCAGTATTACATTGGAACTGTCATCAAAGTACAAAACGGAGATTCCATGTAACTGAGTAGGAGCACAGCAGGGCTTTGGGACTGTTTCTGGGTTTATGAAATGGACCTAGGATAAGCAGAGAAACACATGATTTGACATGATTTCATTGTAACATAATTATAACTGCAGAACATGAGTATATAAAATATTGAATAGTCGAATTAAACTAATGACCATCAAACTCCTCAGAGAACTCTGCAAAGTATACGCAATTATACACAGTTTGATGTTATTGACATGTCGCCATATTCGATTTGGGCTTTGATCAATCAATAGATTTTATTTAAGAGGGAATAACCAATTAATTTGGTTCTGTTTTGGATCTCATTGACGTCCAAAACATTTAAATATCATTATATAAGAAACACAATCATGTGAGTTTGATATTACACGGGGGTTTGTTAAAGATTACCAAATTTTCATTTCGGGGTAAACTATTCCTTTAACACAGAAAATGACTGTGGGACTCACCAGTGTCTGTACAATAGCATGGTTTGTGGCATTCATATAAGAGTTCAAGGGGAACACACATTCCCCCTCACAGTAGTATGCAGCGTAACCCTCTGGAGCAATGATCCAGTCCTGGAAACACAAGAAAGATGAGAAAGTTTAGAGGAGATAAAGGCCCGCAATGAAAGAGGAGTCTAAAACAGGAAGCTGATCACAGTACCTGCCATCCCAGATCTCTAAAGCTGACATAGAGTTCATGCTTCTTGCAGCCCTGTTTGGGGTCTACACTGGAACCCTCTGCATAGAACAGGAGGAAGAATAAATATGTAGCACTTTTGTTAATAACACATTAATAAACTGTATGCTTATTAAGTATGAAGCTATATATTTCTGGTAGAAATTAAAAAGCCTGAAAATTAAATTACAACAATGAACTAACACAAAGTTAGTAATAAAGTGTCACCTGCGGCCTCAGCTGTCTTCAAAGCCACCTGGCTGGGCGCAACACCAGGTTTGGGGTTTTTAGAGCGGTGGGGACCCCTCTGTTTGTTTCCTGATGCTGAGCGAACACTGCGGAGATGGATTCCTGACGCTTTCAAAAACGCCACCATAAATGGCTGCTTATTCCGAGGTCCAGTGCTGCCCACCAGACCTGCTCTCCTTGGGTTCATTCTTTCACCTGCAGAGGGCGACAGTGACAGTTCTGTCCATGAGTTCGAATACATACAATTCTGAAATTCTAAACATCACGTCATTCCAATAATTTGAATAATTTGTCAACTGTTTGGGTGTCCAGAAAATCACTGGCGCGCCCTGATGTTTCTGATGTGAATATCTACTTTTGTGTTTCAAAGAATAAAGAAATGTTTGGAACGACATGAGGGTGAGTAAATGATGACAGACGTTTCTATCCCCATCCCAAATGGCCATTTGATTGTTTAGGATGGTAGTTTGGCAGGTTGTGTTATAAAGTTATCTTGAAGATGCTCACCGTATGCGGTTTCCAGAGAGAGCTGCAGTCCCAAATTCTGACCTGGGTTTATAACCCAGTGGTTAGTGGTGACCGTGAGGTCAAATACCAGCCATCCCTCTTCTGCCGCCCATACCACTTGTGAGTCTAGCAGGTACAGCTCCCTACAAAGAGGTCAAATATGGGTCAATAGCTCTTTATTACAAACGCAAAAAGTGGATATGATCACTGAAACAATAAAAAACACCTAGGTTTTACATTAGTGCTCTTTACCCATGCTAAACCCAAAAACGCAATGCTAGAATGTTCTGGGATTACTGGTCTAAGTCTACGTTTCACATTGATAGTAATGGTAGGATCAATTTTATACAATTTAATGGATAAAAAAGGTCAACTGTCTGTTGTCAATCATGTATAAAGCACAGCTCACGTAGAAATAACTTTCAAACTGTTGGTCAACGCGGCGAATCCGAAAGTCTTATCTCAAACCTGCTGCGAAATTTGCATGGTGAAAACTTTCGATCTAATGTGAAATTCCTGATTGTGTAGATTCCTACGGAGCCCCGCACATGGCATGCATGAAAAAAATAGTAGGCTAAATCGTGTGCACGCTTTACTATTTAGTTCCGTCGATTTATAAATTGTGCACAGGATTTACTAATTCGTTCCCTCGATTTGCTAAATCGTGCACACGATTTATAAATCGAGAGAACTAATTAGTAAATTGTGTACACGATTTAGCAAATCGAGGGAATGAAATCGTAATCGTGTCCACGTTTTAGTACATCAAGGGAACTAATTAGTAAATTGTGCGCACGATTTATTTATTTTTTCTTGCATGTCATGTGCAGGGCACCGTAGATTCCCATTGAAATTATTAGATTTTGCAAAAAAATAAAAAATTGTCAGACAATGTAAATATGACCGCACATTAAAATGTCCACCACAGTAAATAACCCTCAGAGAGACTTTCACTTCAGTTGTTTAAAAACACCCTGTTCACATAATGTAGTCAAATTTGAGATACTATTAGCATCATTGAGGTTTTCTCTGCAGACAAGTTTACAAACTGCAGAAATGAGATGCGAAAATGCCATGACATGCCAGGACTTGTTGTCCTTCTCAGATACAGATACCACAAAATAAGCTCTACTCCATGAGATAAGAACTTGAGGTCTGGCTGATACGAGCCATGAAATCAAAAACAACTGACGCAGCGCAGGCAACAACAAGTTCCCAAGATAGCGTCAAAGTTCGTTCTTATTAAATGTGATGTTTCAGAGATCAGATTGTCCTCCGGTGATGAAAACAGGGCTTCTGGATGGCTCTCCAGAACAATGACTTGACTTACAGGTAGGATTTCAGACCTTGAGGCCAACAAGAGACTAGGTCTTTATGTTCCTCCTGTCTAGTCACCTTGCTGTCTGTGCACTTCAACGGGGCAAACCGTCTCTGCATGACAATAGGAGAGGTGCAGGAAGGATGATTCACAATGGGTGGTCTTCACAGGGAATGTGTGCGTCGGGGGTGGATAATGCTTTAGTGTGCTTGTAATTTAGAACAGGCAATGGAAACCTCAAGAGAGACAGTCTGTCTGAGCATGTCTCACCTGGAGGACTTTTTCAGGTTATCCGCTTTACGGACACAATCAGAAACTTTCCAAGGAGGTGTGATCATGGATGAGGGAATGAAGGGTAAATAATTTCGGGTCGAGGAATGGGGGGTTTCTCCAGATGTCCGGGGCGGAGAACCTCCCTTCCACTGAGGACTCTGCATCTCAATTATTGACAGTAATGGTTCTGTAATGGTGGCTGCTCTCACTGCTTGTTAGCGGCCACACCGTAAATCAGATTGAGGAATTCTGTGGGAGCCCTGGCACTAGACATGTACCGTTGGGCAGACAAATCAGTGTGTGGTGTGTGTGTGTGTGTGTGTGTGTGTAAGTCCATCACTCCTACATTTAGGCTAAAAAGTGTGGGTGGTGGCATATGTTTCATTTCAGACATGAAATGTTTTGTTTTTTTTATTATTATGCCTGCAGGCCTT